GTTTGGAGTCGGAGCTGTGACCGGGCGCACATCGTGAGAGTAGCTTGTGCAGAGTCTTGAGTGTCGGCTGTTGGCTCAGTGTGCTGATTCTGTACCCGAGTATGTTCCGCTACTGCCTTCTGATGGCTAGTTGTGACAGGCTTCGCGCTGTTGGTCGGGTCAACGAGCTTGCTGGTGGGTTGTTGGCGGCGCTGAGGTCTGGTCGGCGCTGACACCGTATCCGCCATCTCGAGCTCAACTTGCCTGAAACGGTCGGTTGAGTCACAAACTGTCACGGCCAATTTTTATTTCTGTGTCACACAGGTACTGTACAGTATTTGATCGCCTTAAACACTTTAACAAGCCCGGGCTTCAGGGCTTGCAAGGCCAGGCTTGACTTATAAGCCCGGCCCTGAGCCTAGCAAAGCCCTTACTGACGGCCCGGCTCGGCCAGGCTTAGTAGGGCTGGGCTTGTCGGGCTTGTCGGGCTTTGAGCCCGGCCCGCACATCACTAGTTGCTACCAGTTGTTCTCTTCACAAGTACGCTATCGTACTGGCCCGATGTCCCAGTTTTGTGGAGGAAGGAGTATTTGTACTTCTGTTTCAATGTTGTTACTACACATCCATGGCTCTCAGATACATGAAGGATATTGATGCTCACATGTTCGCCATTGGAAAAACCAGTGTGATAGACACGTAGCTCTGGAATACTATCTTCGCATTGATGAAGCGATCTCAGGAGATGAAGATGCTTTGCCACCAGCTGTTCAATGTCGTCATCTAATGGCGGGTGGCGCTGGTTGGTAAGGAGGAGAGTGGACAGTTTAAGCCAGAACGGAAGGTTTGACAGCTGCCTGATGCAGTTTGAAAAAAAGAACTGCTCGTGCCGGTCGTGAGATGCAGTTCGGAGAGATGAGCTTGCTTGTGGGACATGTCGAAGGAAGAGGCTTTCCTCCGGGAAGACAATGTTATCAAGCTTGAGCTGAGCAATGTGTAAGTGTTTGACGAAGCTTATCAGACTACGAGCAGACGGTAACCGTAGATTGCATAAGCTGACGCGTTCCAGACGCATCGTGGACATGGGCAGCGTCCTAGGAAGCAGAGCGGACGGAAACAACAACGGGTTCGATGTCGGCTGAACCTGGTTATCTGCTGGGGTGCCATTCATAGTCCAAGTGACGTAGCTCGAGAGACGGAGCTGTTGATGTATTATGAGAGGGAAACGGTGACTCCATGGGACGCCGGGTGATGACCGGTCTTCGACAACATCCAGGTCTAAAATGCAACGTCCGAGGGAACAGCCTAGGAAGTCGGGAGCACCAAGGAATGCGGACAGCTGGGATAAGTCTTCTGCGGTCCTGAGAGTGAGAGAATAGAAGAGGATGGGTCTGACGATCTTGGCCCAATGGCGGCAAGTTAAGCTGCAAGATGCGAGGCCGTGCTTCGGTGGCCTTTTTGGCCTGTACGGCCAAGTTCCACCATAACCACTCTCGCGATCGTCAAGTCGTATTACGATGGCGTGGATAATCTCTTCAGGCAGCCGTGTCCCTGACGTGTTGGGCATTAGCACTGACTTGAAGGTGAGGAACGCACCGCTGCAGACTGTCTGAAGAGGCGAGGCGGGGACGCAGAGATGGGCCAGAGGAGCGCCGCATGGAAAGCGAAGGGTGCTGTTTATATCGATGGACTCGCTACTTCCCGAGCACCGCCTCCTCAACAAACCCCGCAGAACACGTGCACAGTGACAGAGCCTCGCGATAACACGCTCTGCGGTGCGATATTGAACTTAAGCTGCTCTGCCTAGGCACACGGTCTCTGAGTCATCGCAAACCTGCGCTGCGCTTCTAGGGCGGCGTTGGACAAACATAATGAGGGTCGAGTCATCAGTGGTGCACAACACCCCTTCCAGCTCCAGCGAGCGCGAGCGGCATTTACACTTGAAACTGCGCGCAGTGATACCCAATTAACAAGGCGACTATTATATGGTCGTTAAATGTCATTGAAGGCGTGTCGAGAGGAGAACACTCACGACGTCATAGAGTAGCACAGCCGAGAGTGCTCTCGCAGGTCCAGGGAACAGCGATGCATAGCTCTGCGGTGATACAACAACCAATGAGACTAGCTGTGGCAGTTTCAACAAAGGATATACTCGATACTCGGATAATCCCTGGCTCTGAGTTTCGCGAAATCACGACATGTAGCCACCCTGCCATGCCCTGCCCCAGCGCAGTGCTTTCATCTTTGGCACCGCTTCTTCGGCGGCTGATTCTGCAACACTGGACACGGCGAGTACGGCGAACGTGCGGAGCACCAAACGCGAAGGTGTACTTTGTCTGGCCAGGTGCGATCTGCTGGCAAGCGCGGAGCAAGAGAGAATACATACCATGGCTGTCCTCAGTGCGCCAGAGGCTGTGCACACAAGTAGTGTTATCCTCGGATTCCAAGTACGCGCGTGCACGCGGCGCATCTATCCTCTGCAATATCGATGAGCAGAGCCCTGTCGCTCTGCGGGCGGTGGCACAGTTTCGACTGTACGAGACTTTGGACGGTCCTGCATCAATTTTGCTGATCAAACTGTATACTTGAGCCGGAGCCAGTAGACCTACCTACATGAGGGTGCTAGCATGCGCATGGCTGAGGTGGCGCTTTGTGTTGAGGATCATAGATTCAGAGGAACGAACCGGGACCCACTTGCAATGTGCATTGAAGTAGGCTGACATCGATCTACGCGTGATGTGAAAAAACGAGATCAAATTGACTTGTTGGTGTATACATCGGATATGCACAGACAAGGAAGCCGAATATGAGGTCGATGAGTACTCGTCGTAATCTCGGAGAAGCCGGCGGCTAGGTTGGGACAAGACGACGAAGGGCGGTAAGCAGGGTGGCGGGGACGATTAAGAACGCTTCGTGTTAGCGGCGCATAAGCATGATATTATGGCAATCACGCACAAATGCCATACCTAGTGGCACGACACCTCAGTATGCCAATGCTTGGCTGACAACCCGGCCAGGCCGACACGACCTCCCTCTCTCTCGATCACCGTATGTCGCGCCATACGCCCACCCAACTGACTTTGTGAGCTACCTGAAACAAAATTTTGGCATCAGTATCGTAGATAGAGACTCGAGGGACGTACGGCTCAGTACAATATCATGAGCGTGAAGGAGCAGAAGCAGTCGACCGTAAAACTCTGAAGCTTCGCCCAAACCCTTTGCTCCGTCGTGTTGGCATCATCGCCACAAAGGATCTGATGTGCCCGAATGCGCCAGTTGATGCGCCGTGGCACGTGTCTCCCGCCACTTTCGCTGGGCGTCTGCGCGCGACGCGTGCTCTCGCTGCATCTCCAGTCTCTACTCTGACTTTCCGTCCTTTGCGACGTTGGCCGATTTTCAACTTCTATGGCTCACCGACGAAGTAGATCGTTAGGTCCTCTCCCGACTGCGATGCCGGAAGTAAGCATCAGCCTGCACCGGCAAGGTTGAGTTCCCGAGGTCCGTTGGCGACCTCCCAGTGCTCGCAACATCTCACCGCGATCATATACCATTCCTGACTCATCTTCTGCGGTACATTCAGCCAAGACTCCTCGGAGACCTTCGTGGCGCGACGTGTGTATCAGCTTGCAGGCCACCATCCACTTTTCACGCAAACGACCTTCGCACCAGACGTC